TTCTCCCCATTTCTCTCCACTTAAAATAACCAAACAAGGAAGAGAAATACATTTCTCTCTATTTCTTTTCTTTTCTCTCCAAATCACTCCATCCAAACACAAAGAGATTTTTAAAATCACCGAACATGTGCCTCAAAAAAATTAATGGAAAAAACACAGAAGACACCACTAATTCAAAGTTCAAATGGATCAAAAAGCAAAGCTAAAAGGGAAAGAAACAAGAAAAATTGAAAATTTTAGAGATCTCCTCCTCCTCATCCTTTTCTTCTTCTTCTTCTTCTTCTTCTTCTTCTTCTTTGTCTGAGTAGTGTTGAAGTGTGTGTGTGTGTGTGTGAGAGAGAGAGAGAGAGAGAGAGAGAGCATAATCGAAAGAGATAAAAAATGGCTGCAAGTGTTCTTCTTTTGTCCTCAACAAGATGTTCATTCATAGTTTTCTAGGGTTAGGATTCCATGAACCCAAAGTTGAAGCCATCAAGTGTGTTTTCTCCATCATCAACATATTCTTCTTCACGTATTTGAGTAAAATCTCCAGATCTATGCTAGTGTTCGGATCTGGGCTCTGAAAACCAGATCTAGGTGAGAGAGAGAAAGAGGGTAAAAGAAAAGGGTTTTGGCAGAGGTCAGATTCTTCTCATCCTCTTTTTTCTTCGTCAATGGCTTCATCGACCGACGATGGTGGCTTTGTCGATGGCGGCAATGACGATGCAGTGAACTCCTTGTTCAGGCCCTTCCCTCTTACTCCTTCGTCTTCTCTCTCTCTCTCTCTCTCTCTCTCTCACTCACACACACTGTTGTGTTTCACCGACTGAAACAAAGGAAAACAAAGGCCGTGTTTGGTAGAATTTTTTAAAATTAATTTCACCCTTACATTCTAATGTTATGTTTGATTTGAGTTTACAAATTATGACTTCAAAATATATTTTAAAAATATGTTAGGTAAAGTAATATGGTCATCCGCGCGGACATCCTCTCGAATGTCCAGCCGATCATTCTCTCTAACAATTTATTTATTTATTCTTTTTGTAATTGCCAAGGAAAATTATTGAATAATCTCAAAATATCATATGATCATATTCTATATCAATTACTGAATCTCACGTTGTTCCCCTCTCCCAACATAAATTGTGGGCCTCTAATCCTCTACCAATCAAAACTTTATGGAGCATCACGTGTTCATACTCCGGGAATATTGAATAATCACTCAATTGCCAATCGCTACCTGTTATTTGGGAAAAAAAAATTATTATATTTGTTTTTGATATTTTTTAAACATAGAAATTATTTTTTTAGACCAAAATGACAAATTATTTTTTTTAATTGAATTTTAAAAAAAATTTGGTTATGAGTTTTAAATAAAATTTTCAATAGAGTTTGGAGTTGTGTGTTTAGTTATGAGTTATAAGTTCTTCAATTAAGTTTAGAAAACTCTTTCCAAAACTCATAACCAAACAACTTTTCTCATTTCACATGTCATATCAAAAATTCAAAAATTATAACTAAATAAATTTTCTCTTTTCAAATCAAAATTCCAAAACTTACAAACTTAAAATACGAACCTATTTTCAAATCATAATTCTAAAATTCTACCAAACACTACCAAAAATATTTTCGGGTAAACCACCAATACGTCTTAATAGTTTAATTAATTTCAATAAGACTTTAGTAAAATTGTCGCTAAAAATAACTTTTTGTGATATTTTTTTTTTGCAGATGTTGCTAAAAATTGACAATTAGTGACTTTTTTTATCACGATCTTTTTTTTATTTATAAATTATCGCTAAATTTTACAATTAGTGACTTTTTTTTAACGAATTTTTTAAACTATCGTTGAAAGTTGAAAATTAATAAATATTTTGTGACTATTCTTTTAAACTGTTACTAAAATTTATAATTAATGATACTTTTTGTGACAATTTTTAAACTGTCACTGAAAATTAAAAATTAGTAATTTTTTAATAGTATTTGATGAAAAAAATCATTAATTATCATAAAATTTATTAGACGATAAATTCATATTAAGATCTATATGTAAATTTGTTGTTTTTTTTTGTTTTGTTTTTCCTTGCCAATTTGTGACCAAAAAAAAAAAATGGTTGGTCACATTTTTTTTTTATAAATTGTTGCTAAATTTTATAATTAGTGACGTTTTTCTGTGACGAATTTTTTAAACTTTTGTTGAAAGTTAAAAATTAATGATTTTTTTTGTGACTTTTTTTAAACTGTTACTAAAATTTTTGTGACAAAATTTTCAAACTGCCGCTGAAAATTAATAATCAGTAATTTTTTTGATAGTGTTGATAAAAGATGTCATTAATTATCATAAAACCTATTAAACAATAAAGTCACATATTAAGTGAATTTTTGATTTTTTTTTTTGAATTTTTTGATTCTTTGTTTTTCAATTTGGCGAGGAGTGATCTCAGCCATTCGTTTGATTAGTGGGAAAGGTCTCACGCTCTAAGGAAATTCAGTCCAGCATATCGGTTGACAGGATTAGAGCATCAACAATGAACTAGATAAATGCTGTGTTAGTGTCAGTGGTTAGTATTGTGTGTTAACTGTGGCTACCGTTTTAGCTAACGAGAGAGAGAGAGAGAGAGAGAGAGAGAGAGAGGGAGACGTGGGGAAGTACCGTGGGGTCGCCTGGCCAGATGTTTGACCGATTGTCCCTCAGACGTCTGGACCCATCAAGTAGAAAAAAAAAATTACAGTTGACTAGTTGATCGGCCGAACGTCCGGCCATCTTCTTCCAGACCCTTGCTGCCTTCATTTTCCTTGGAAACCAAACTAAGCATCTTCAAAAGGAAAAATGAAAAGAGAGCTTTCCATGGAGAGAGAAAGAGCCTTCATTTTCTTGCCAGCCTTAATATTCTTCAGCAGAGCCTTCCATGGAACGAACTTATTTATTTTATTTATTATTTATATATATATATACTCCCTCCGTCCCAAAATATTGGTCCCTTTTGGGGAATCCAACTTTTTTTTATGCTACAATTATTACATTTCAAAATTTTTAAATTTTCAAAAATACCCTTTGATTTAAAATTAAGGTCAAAGAAGTACTACTAATAGTGTATAAGAAAATTTGTCCAAAAATTTTGACGGCAATTTGTTGTGAATCAAACCAAATTTAAGCGAGTAGGGTATCTAAATAAAATTTGAAAGTTTCCTTTTCAAGTTAAAATTCCATGTTACTACAGAAACTACTCCATTCTTTCTCACAAAGGCAAACTCTTTTGTTCTGCTCTATTACCAAATCTGCTTCTTTTTCTTTTCTATATCTCATCAACTCTTCCAGCTTATTGTCTCATGTTTTTATCTTTAAATGTTGATCCATTTTAATCCATCATGGATTCTATAATTGAGACTTCTTTTGTTGCTAGTTCCCTTATTTTTCTTTCTTGTGTTCATCATAGAACAAAGAAAAATCTAACAAATCATCTACACCAATCAATTTTTGAAACTCTGCTAATACAAAGTAAGGATGGAAAATTGAAAAGGGGTTGTCAAACTGAGGCTGCTGCGAAGTTCTCTGTCCATGTAAAAACTGTTCGTTGTATATGGCAGAGAGGAATAGCTTGTATGGAAAATGGGTTAATGGTCAATGTATCTAGCAAATTAACAAATTCTGGCTGCAAGCGAGTTCAACTCAACTTTGGGAAAGTCACTGAAATTCCCCTTCGTTGTCGAACCAATATCCGCTCATTGTCAAAGGCATTGAATTTTCCAAAATCAACAGTTCATAGGAGAATTAAAGAAGGCAAAATTAGGCTGCATTCAAATGCATTGAAGCCGTATCTATCTGAAGAGAATAAGAGAGTAAGACTCCGATTTTGTCTTTCAATGCTTGAGCCTAATAGTCTTCAAGGCCAGCCAATGTTCAAATCCATGTATGACTATGTGCACATTGATAAGAAGTGGTTTTATATCTCCAAAGAAGCAGAGAGGTATTACCTTCTTCCTGAAGAAGAAGAACCACATCGTTGTTGTAAAAGTAAACGTTTCATTACAAATGTAATGTTCCTTACAGTGGTTTCTCGGTCACAGTTTGATGAAAATAAAAATGAAGAATTTTCAGGTAAAATTGGAATTTGGCCATTAATGTACAAGGAACCAGCTAAAAAGTGTTAGAAACTGGTTTTGAAATTCTGGAAAACAAAATTTTCTCCAGACTTTGGTCTAATTTTTAGGTGGGATCCGTGCGTCGATTTTCGCGGATCAAAGTGGAAACGCGTTCTATGCCACATTGTGATTCACGTGGTATATTTGGTTGCTCAAAACCATTATCGAGTGAATGGGAAATTGAAGCCAAAGTGTGCTCCATGGAAATGGAGTTTTGGTGAAAATTCCTTAAGGTTTGTGTAAATGGCTTGTCCCACATTGATTTGGTGGGAAGTTTTGAATGGGTTTATATAGCTTGGAATTATAACTTGGGGAGGGCCCCAAGGGGCACCCCAAGTTTGTAGAAAGGAGAGGTTATGGGCAAAGTGGGCTAGACCCATTGGACCCAAAAATCACCACATGCGCGCGCGCCGCCACCGTCCGTTTGTCCGGTCGGTCGAGCGGGCTGGGTGGGGCTTGTCCGGCCCAATACTAATCTTTTTGGGCAAAAAACATTTGAGTTTATTTGATTTATTTTGAAATAAAATCTGTTCGTTTTTATTTCAAAATTCTGGTTGGAAATTAAATTCAAATTTTGTAATTGCACCTCTTCAGAATTTCTGTCCAAACCGTATCTATTCTACCCGAACAGATTTCAAATCTGTTTAATTTTCAAATTCAAACAGATTCGGTTATCTGTCCAATTCAAACCCAACAGGTACAGTACCTGTTCAAACATGTATGCTACCTGTTCAATTCAAAGTTAAAGGGTGCCATTACTTCTATAAATAGACCAACCCTCATTTGATGTTTGATTCAACAATTTTCGTACTTCTCTCATTTGTTATAATTCTCTGCATTTTGTTGCATTTAATTTCTGTGAGAAAGAGTTTGAACACATAGTGTGTTCGTTGGGAAAACAATTTTGTAGTGCTGCTATTGTTTGCTGTTGATCATTTTATTTTGAGAGATAGATGTCCGTATTCTAAAAGCACCATGGAGAGGATGAATCTGTCTTAAGGACACAGTGTCGAACATTGGACTTGATCAGAATTATTATTCAAGAATTAATCAAGTCAGTTATTTAATTTATTTTCGGTGTTATTATTATTTATTTAAATCAGATTTTAATTTTGTTTTTGTAACAAAATAAAATCTGTTATTTATTTATTTCTAGTTTAATTTTTGTAATCAAACAAATTCTCTCATTTCCTTTATTTCTTTTATATTCTAGTTGTCGTTAAGTACACAACAGAATTTAATTTATTTAAATACAGTAAAGATTGTCCAACAATACAATCTTAAGACATCTCATTTATTGTATCTTTATTGTATTTAATTTTCTGTGTTTTCACAAAGCAATATTCTGGTTGGAAAATACAAATAGTATTTATAAACTATTTGACAGATAGTAGTAATATACTGTCTATTTTCTTTGACAACTAGTAGTAATATACTGGTGCCATTAACAATTGCAGAATATTATTTAGTGTTACAGAAAATTATTGTGGTATTTTATTTTTCTGGTTTTAGTAACAAGGAAAATAAAATTATTTGCTATTATAATTTATTTTCTGATTTTAGTAACTAGAAAATTAATTTGTGGTCTATTTTTTTGATTTTTTGTAATCAGTTATTATGGCTACTGCAATTGAAATTGCAACTGGAAGTGGTACTCCAATTGTTACACCAACATCGGTCCCTATCCAAAACCATGTTCAAGTACCAATAAATCATGGAGAAAAATGGGAAAAATTTAACGGTACTGACTTTAAGAGATGGCAGTAGAAGATGTTGTTCTATCTTACAACTCTAAATTTGGCCCGGTTTCTCCATGAAGAGGCTCCAGCACTTAAAAAGGGTGAAAGTGATCGGCAAGTTGTTGTCGCTGTAGATGCTTGGAAACATTCATATTTCCTATACAGAAACTACATCCTCAATGTCCTTGACAACATGCTGTGTGATGTTCACAGTCCTCTAAAGTCAGCAAAAGAATTGTGGGATTCTTTGGAGAAGAAATACAAGACAGAAGATGCCGGCACGAAGAAATTTGTTGTCGGTAAATTTCTGGACTTTGTTATGGTAGACTCTCATACGGTAATTTCTCAAGTTCAAAATTTTTAAATAATTTTGCATGATATTCATTCAGAAGGTATGTCTCTTAACGAGTCTTTCCAAGTCGCTGCTCTAGTGGAAAAGTTACCACCGGCTTGGAAAGATTTCAAAAATTATTTAAAACATAAACGCAAGGAGTTGACCATGGATGAATTGATTGTAAGATTGAGAATTGAGGAAGATAATCGAAAGGCTGAATAGAAAAATGGGAAAAATCCCATTGAGTCTAAGGCTAATGTGGTTGAACAAGTTCACAAACCACATAACAAAAAGAGGAAGTTTACTGGAGATGGTCTTAAACAAGGCGACAACAACAGCAATAAGAAGTTCAAAGGAAAATGCTATAATTGTGGCAAAACTGGACATCGAGCTTCTGATTGCCGCCACCCTAAGAAGGATCGCGGAAGTACAAGCAAGAAGACTACCAATCAGGCCTATGTAATTGAACTAGATTACATCTCTGACAGGGTGAATGACATCAACCTCTCTACTGTGGTGTCTGAGGCTAATTTGGTTAGAAATCCCAAGGAGTGGTGGGTTGACACTGGAGTAACTCGTCACATATGTGCGGACAAGAAGATGTTCACTACCTACAATGAGGCTGCAAATGGTGAACAACTTTTCATGAGAAATTCTTCTACTTCTACTGTGGCTGGACAAGGAAAAGTGATCTTGAAGATGACATCAGGGAAAGAACTGACCCTCAACAACGTACTGTATGTACCAGACATCCGAAAGAATTTAGTTTCTGGTTCTTTGTTAAGTAAAAATGGCTTTAGGCTTGTCTTTGAGTCTGATAAATTTGTATTAACAAAGAGTGGTATGTATGTTGGTAAGGGATACATGAGTGATGGTCTCTTCAAACTAAATGTAATGACGGTTGTACCAAAAGTTGCTATTAATAAGAATAACACATCTTTTGCTTATATTCTTGAGTCGAATTTATGGCATGGTAGATTAGGACTTGTAAATTATGATGCTTTGCGTAGATTAATTGGTCTAGATTATATACCAAAGTTTGAATTTGATCATAATCATAAATGTGAAGTTTGTGTAGAAGCGAAACTAACTAAGGCTCCATTTAAATCGATTGAAAGGAAACCGAACCTCTAGAATTAATTCATACAGATGTATGTGATCTTAAATTTGTTCAAACTAGAGGAGGCAAAAAGTATTTCATAACATCTATCGATGATTGCATAAGATATTGTTATGTTTATTTACTTAGAAGTAAAGATGAAGCCTTAGAAATGTTTAAACTCTACAAAACAGAAGTTGAAAATCAACTTGGTAAAACCATTAAAATGGTTAGAAGTGATAGGGGTGGTGAATATGATGCACCATTAAATGAATTTTGTGCACAACATGGCATTATTCACCAAACTACAACACCCTATTCTCCACAACAAAATGGAATTGCTGAAAGGAAGAATAGAACCCTAAAAGAAATGATGAATGCCATGTTACTAAGTTCAGGCTTACCTCAGAACTTGTGGGGGGAAGCAATATTGTCTGCTAATTATGTTCTTAACAGAATACCCCACAAGAAAACCAACAGCACTCCTTATGAATTATGGAAAGGTCGATCACCTTCCTACAAATACTTAAAAGTGTGGGGGTGTTTGGCAAAAGTTGAAGTTCTTGTTCCTAAAAAGACTAAGATTGGACCAAAAACAGTAGATTGTGTGTTTATTGGTTATGCTCAGAATAGTAGTACATATCGGTTTCTGACTTATAAATCATAAATACTTGATATAAATGTGAACACTATTATAGAGTCAAGGAATGCGGTGCTTTTTGAACATGTCTTTCCTTACAAGAAATGACAGGAATTAAGTTCACAGAAAAGAACTTATGATTGTACACAAAGTTAAGAGACTAATGACAATCAAACACAAGAGACTAGTAATGGTCTCAACCAACATGATTTAACTGATGATAAACCAAGACAAAGTAAGAGGGCGAAAACATCAAAATCCTTTGGTCCAGATTTTCTGACGTACTTGTTAGAAAATGAACCTCAAAGCTTTAAGGCAGCAACGACAGGTCCTGAAGCACCTTTGTGGAAAGAGGTTGCTAATAATGAAATTGAATCCATTATGCAAAATCATACTTGGGAATTGGTGGATCTTCCACCAGGTTCTAAACCTATTGGATATAAATGGATATTCAAGAGAAAAATGAAAGCAGATGGTTCAATTGACAAGTATAAAGCAAGACTTGTAGTTAAAGGTTACAGACAAAATGAAGGTCTAGACTATTTTGACACATATTCCCCTGTGATAAGAATAACATCCATTCGCATGCTTATTGCTAGAGCAGCGTTGTTTAATTTAGAAATACATCAAATGGATGTTAAGACAACTTTCTTAAATGGTGAACTAAATGAAAAGATCTATATGGAGCAACCCGAAGGGTTTGTAGTACCGGGGCAAGAAAAGAAAGTTTGTCGGTTTGTAAAATCACTTTATGGATTAAAACAAGCACCTAAGTAATGGCATGAAAAATTTGATCATGCAATGCTTACTATTGGGTTTAAGATAAACGAATGTGACAAATGCGTCTATGTTAAAAACACTGACCAAGGATATGTCATAGTTTGTCTTTATGTGGATGACATGCTTATCATTGGAAGCAGTCAAAACATGATCAAATCAACTAAGCGAATGCTTAACAAAAGATTTGATATGAAAGATATCGGGGTCGCAGATGTTATATTAGGAATGAAAATTACTAAAATATCTTACGGATATGCATTATCTCAATCACATTATATTGAGAAAATTCGTGGTAAATTTATCAAGGATGATATGAATTTAGCTAGAACACCTGTAGATATCAGTCATTATTTATCGAAAAATAAAGGTGATGCAGTGTCTCAGTTAAAATACTCCTAAATCATTGGAAGCCTAATGTACCTATTAAATTGTACTCGTCTTGACTTAGCTTATGCAGTCAGTAAATTGAGTAGGTACACTAGTGTAGACACCCCATTTTTGACCGCCCTTAAGACTTGGACGCGACTGATGGTTTACATGGTGGAGAAAGGTGTGTAGGGGAAAAGTTCAGTTTCTTCGGCAAGGAGAGAGTTAAATCTCAACTTCATATCCCTTTTTGGACCAAAACAATCTTGATCAAAAGATTTTAGACCTTAAAACCCTCTCTTTCAAAACGTTTTTGAAATAAAGTTTTTGATTTTGAAATAAAGTTTTTACGATGTTCCGAGGCTCGCATTTTGTCAAATGTTGCGCTTTTCGGTAAACCGAGCAAGGACAAAGTAGAAATGAATGAAATAGGGATGAAATCTTTGAAAAATATTTCAAAACACTTTGTTTATGGGTTTGGAGTTAAATAAAAGAGGAAAGGAGAGAAGAAAACTAGTTTGGGAGAAGTTTGGCATGAATCCGGTTGGACCGAATCTGCGCGGCTTCACCAAAATAGACATAACTTTTTGTACAGGAGGAATTTTAATGCAAAGCTGGTTCCATTGGAAAGAAAACTTCCAGGGATTCAATTTGGATACAAGAATGACCTGAAAAGGAGTTCATATGAAGGAGTTATGGCCATTTGAAGTTAGATCTAGAAAGCAGAATTTTCCTAAACTAGCTGGCCGACCCGAAAAGGTGGCTGGCCGACCACCCTCTCCTGAAAAAGTGGTCGGCCGACCAGAAAAAGTGGCTGGCTGACCAGAAAAGTGGTCTACAGGTCCCAAACTCAGATATTTAGCCTCCAGCTGTCTTCCACAACCTCCAGCTGTTCCAAACTCAGATTTTTTTGAACCAACTCTTGTATATGGCTATATATGAGTTATATCTCTCATTTTTAAGGACAATCTTCCTAAGCAAGTTTTGGGAGCTTCTCACTCTAAAAAATCCCTCTCTCACTAGAAATTCCAGAGCCAAATCTCTGCCTCTCTCTCTTTGTCTTGCCTTTGTGTGCATAGCAAGAGCTATACTTGGAGATATACCTCTCCTTTGCCTAGGCACCCTTGATCAAACTCAACTATCATTGGGCTGAGGTTCTTTGAGGATCATTTTGAGCTCCAAAATCTGGTTTTAGCTCAGAGTTTGGACCCCTTTTGCTACTGTCTTCTTGAGCTTCAAGGGTAACACACCATTTCCCTCTTTTAAGCATTGTTTTGCATCATATCTTAGCTCTACTTGTGAGCATTTTTGAGATTTGTCATAAACTTAAAAAAGTTTTATTTTGAGATTATAAACATGTTTACTTAAGGTCACATTTTTTTTGGGGTCACCTTCCCCTTTGTATGCTTCATTCCCTCATGCTTGGGGCTATGCATTAGAGCATTTGCATTGGCCTTGGTTTGGCCTTTTAGCCACTAAAATCTAGTGAATTTTCAGTGGCTTAGATGTGTCTTTGAGCCCTAAAATCAGAGGGGGTCACCCCCCTCTCTCCTTGTCTTGTTTGTTGGCCTTTTTGGCCTTCCAAAGGGGCTCCATCTTTTATGCTTTGAAGTCTTGTTTCAGGCCCTATTATGTGAGTTTTGAGGTCTGCCTTAGCTCTGTTCGGAGCCCCTTTGGCCATATTTTATGTCTATGATGCATGTGTAGAACAATTCCATTCAAGGCCTTTCAAAGGGGCCTTTC